GTACATAGGAGACAAGAAATTGCTTTGTTATAGTTAACAAGGTTCTTGCATGCCTTACAGTTACTATACCTATGTTCATGTTCAGTGGAAAAGATAGTTCAAGCAGAAATGTTCTCTAGTTAGCTGGCACTCATCAAGCTTAACACATTAATAAAATGATAGTATGTATCAGGGACTATAACAATTTGAATTCTTTAGTCACTGGGCTTGCACATACCCCTATCCTTAATACATCTGCATTTGTTACCTATACATTTTATAAGTATGCAGAGAAGTGGCCTACCATGAAGTTTTCCATAAAAAAGAAATCAATATCTTTTTTGATCCAACTAATATTCAGGCCATTCAACTGATAACTAGCCTGTTACATGTGTTCTCTCTTCAACTATCGATATTTTTTATCCAGTTATTTTTTTGGACTTTGCAACTATTAAATTTCTGGTTTCTTATCAAACTAACTATCATAATAACAGCAACTCAACAAGAGAACAGTACATAAAGTGAATCATATTAACATCCTTTACTTTTCACAATTTCGCCTACTTCAGTTTTATTTTGTTGCTATCCTTGCTGTTCTTGTAATGTTATACCTTTGCAGTTACAAGTTCTGTCTAAAGAGGCGGTTGAGAATAAGAACATTGCAGTACCGTCCAGCTAGTAATATCAGTGAAATTTATGACAGTGTAGATCCAGAGGTTGTACTGCATATTCTTGTTCATAAGGTAATCTTATTTAGTTCCAGCAACATAATGTAATTATGTTTGTTTTTGGTTTAAATCAAGTATATTATTTCCTCTACAAGTCATGCAGAATGAATTGAAATAGGTGATTAATATCAAGATTTGTTGTTAGTATTAGAAATTCTGTGATATCGTTGATTAATTTGGAACAAGGACCAGTGAACCTTCTGTCAGGGAGATTCTCCTTTGCTGATCTTTAACTGGTAGTATCAACATGATTTTCTTAATAAAAAATGTTCTCAGATTAGTCAATGATTTTAGATGTTTGCATATTGGCAAGCATTAAACTCTGATAAAAGGCAATAAAACGCTATGATTCCTTTTATTTTGTTTTTTAAAATGGATCCTTCTACTACTTCATCTTCATATGGTGATATGCACTAAATGTTCCCCCGTACACTGTTTCCAGGTTATTTTAGAATCCTTGGATAAAGGTGTTAGAGAAGGCAGGCATCAAGTGCATGCTTGGCTATCCCTCCTTGCAGCCCGGTATAATCAGGCCCTAAGCTCTGATGTGCGAACTCCGCTATCGAGCATAGACATTGACTTCTCGCAGTGCCCACAGCTTCAAACGATACCTCAACTTGTTTTTGCATTGTTGAGAAGTCCTCTTCTTCGCTTGCATGAAGAAGGCGTACACCCAGATTACAGGATATATCTACAATGCCTTTTCAGGTTTATAGTGTTTTGAATTCGCTATGTTCTGGTTTGCAGCATATCTTGCATAGAATTTTCGTTATATTAAACTTTGATTAGTTTTACTCCAAAGAAGGCTTGTTTAGTTAGAATATTATTCATGAATCTCTTAAACAAATGTAAAATATGTAAAACATTCCATGTTGAGTTGCTCACTTTGAGAACAAAAAATTGTAGACCATTCCTGCTTTGATGATCTCTTATCCCGTACTCAACTAATGCGAACAAATATTCTAACTCCAAATTCACAAGTTTGAGCCTTTTTTTTTGCAGTGCACTGGAGCCATCTTCTCTAGCTAAAGCCATATATCCGGTTTTAGTATCGTATTCCTCACCTGACAAGCAAGCGTTCCCGCGACACACTCTGAGCCGTGCTGCTCTAATAATGAGCGAGAGCCCAATATTTCTTCTCGACACATTTACCAACCTTATTGTTTACTATTCGTCAACTGCTGATCCTTCAATTCCTTTTCCTCCACCCCGTGACTGTAAGTACATGGTTTTGCATTTTGTTGTTCATGTTTTGAGTAGTACATATATGCTTTCCAAAAGAAAAGAATTGCATAATAAAGCTCCAAAGAATATTGTTTGGTGTAGTCGTGGCTAATAATATTCTTGAAAGTCTTCCTTTTGTTGTTGAGAGCATAGATAGAAGCACTAGTACTTGCTTGTTTCAGCTGCTGATTCTTTCTACATACCATGTAGGTCTTTTGAGAACAACGATCAATAGACTGAAGCAGGACAGATGTATAACCCCAAAGCTTACATTCATCCATGGAGGGAATGATGATTCAACATTGTTTGAGAGCTATCTGATTGAAGAACAAGATGTTGATGGATCATCAGGCTTTACAACTGGTTCAGGTTTTGTAGCCTTCCGTGAGAGCGTGAGGAATGTTGCAGGAGAAATCATCCAGGAAGAAATTGGAAGTTAGTTTCAGCTGGATTAGCCTTTTGGTTCTGCTGCAGACTATCGACTGGATGCTTTTAACCTTAATTAATTAATGTCGTATTAGTTAACTGAAACTTAGATAGCCAAAATGGAGAAGCAATGTCAATGAATAATAAAAGGAGAAGCCTTTCTAGTATATGGTTGCTTCTGTCAAGATGCTTTAGGCTTGATTAGTCAGAGAAGCCTTTCTGGTACAGTGGTAGCAGGCCTGTCTCTCTATACTAAAAGAGACGAGTTTTACTAAACAATACACCGTGGGAACCTGGCTGTCTGAATTTTTGGAGAATTCAAACTTTGATACCAGTGCTGCTGTCTATTCTGAGTAAATTGCATCCACAATACAACTTTTATGGTTGTATCACTTTGATCCAGCAAGTTGCAAAACAGGTAAGGAAATGTGTGAACTTGTCAAATAAGTGTATCTATGGTCACATGTACGCAAACATAGTATATTTTGCCAGCATGGTAGATGATGTGGACGGTTTTATGCACGTAGTCTCCTTGCTTTGTTCTCCCTTCTCATATGGGGTTTTTGAGTGTTTTTTTTTTTTTTTTTTTTTGCTATTGGCGCGTCCTTTTCAATAGATCGTCGCATGGAGGTAACAAACGACGCTGGGACCAGATCGGCAAAGGGTTCCTAGCGACCTTCGATTTGATGGAGCCCTGTCGACATATACAAGATGGACTCCTTGATTACGGTTCGTAACCATTCATCTGCTTGTGTTCGTGCATTTTCTGTTTTCATCTGTCGACATTGACCACGGTGAGCCGAAGGTCTGATAGGTCAAAACTGAATTTGCAAGGATAAAAATAGAAGAACAGTTACGAACATTAACCGAGAGGGAGGGTAGTCCATCTTGTACGCGTCGACATGGCTCTACTCAACGATAAAGGTTGCTAAGAACTCTTTGCCGATTCGATTTTAGGTGCTGCTTGCTACCTTCAGGCGGCGATCTGTTAAAAGGGGCAAGCGGATCATCAAGAAAATGAAACCAACCGCCAGTTATTATGTTCGTATAAAACCCGTTGAGAAGGAAAAACAAAGGTATACATGATTACGTGCATAAAACCGTCCACAATATTTGCCTGGTGGCAAAATATATCAGAGGATCACGTGCATAAAATCGTCCATAACATTTGCTATGGTGGCAAAATTTATCAGGTGGCATACATATATAACCGTAGATGCATGCACATAATCGACAAATTCATGCATTGCTTTACACGTTATGCAACCTCTTTGACCAAAGTGACATCACCATGCAAAATATTGTATGCTAGTTGTAATTTACTTTTTATTTAATTTCTATTTTTGTGAAACATGGAACTGCATCTCTTCTAACCTAAAAAAGAATGTCGTGAATATCATGTTTGAAATATCATTTTTATAATAGCACAACACACGTTGAAAAACATAGAGAAAAACTGGGAAACCTCACAGAGAAAAATGAAAAAAATATATCCATGCAACATCAATTTTCCTCAATCAAGCTGGAAGGCTAGAATTGACCAACTCAGTTTTCTCAGCTTTTCCTACTTTCTGCATGAGCACTTTTGCTCTTCATAACATAGTGATTGCTCAAATTGATAAATTCAGAAAATTATGCCTATGGAGAGGGGCTGACCTCAATGCAAGACAAAAGCCAAAAGTCACGTTCTTTCTCCTTATCGTACATCTTCCATTTTTGGGAAGAGAGATCAAGTAAAGTCAAGAATAAAAAATGGGTCCCTAACATTAAAGTTCGAAAGGTTTCTTCGTCCTAAACCATCCGATGAGGAAATCCTTACGAGTTAAGAGTACCAGGTATCCTCTATATAGGTTAACTAGGGGGCAATGTTACCAGTTGCCAAACAATTATCACATATTTTCGTCAAACCGCGTAGGCTGCATTTGCGTAGTGATTCAAACAATAGCCATACTCAGTTTGCTATAACTTAGCTAAAGTTTGGCTACCAACTAAACGACTATTTTTTGTCACAACTTAGATCCTGTTTGAGATCACGATCTCCCACCACGCGTTGGTAGCAAACGAGCGGTGGCGAGGCCACCACGATACGTAAAATCGTGTTTGTAGTTCGTTTTCGCGATGATATGAATTTGGTGTGGTGATAAGAATCAAGCGGACCACGACACGTTTGGCGAGATTCTCCGATCCATGCATGTCATAATTTATGGTTTTGTGCTTTTTTTAGAAACAAGGACCTGTCATTGTTGAATTACCGTGTGCAGAAAGATGATCCAGCGGACGTGGTGCGGCACGCAATGTAGGGGATGGGCACTGCAAAACTCGATCAGTCATGACTGATGTTCCTCGCCGATTTCTCAGTTAGTTTTCAGTGTGTTCCTCTTCCGCGAGAAACTCTATACGTGCGCAAAAGATTCTTCCTTATTGCACATACAACGCAATCAAATTCTACGTATTAACCGTAGAGCATGGCATACACAAGTTGTTCAGATAATACCGAGTAGTGATTACATTATGACCAACACTGCACCGCAGTAAAAAAAACCACGAACACCGCAAAGGAAAGCATGCTTATATTGATAGTAGGCTAGTAGAACCAGCGGAATTACTCCCCCGGACAAATCGATCAATGCCGCATTCGGAGTTTCAGACCATCGTCGCAGCGGCCACGCCGGCGGCGACCAGGAGCGCAGTCAGCCACGCGAACGGCACAGCAGCCGCACCGCCGCTGTGGTCAGGCGATGGGGCGGGCGCCTCCGCTCCCTGAGGTGGCGTCGCCGGGCCAGGCGCCGCCGCCGCCCCCGGGGTGGGAGGCGCCACGGCTGGCGCAGCCACCGAAGGCAGCGCGGGCGCCGGGGCCTTGTGGGAGTGCTCTCCGTGGCGCTCCCTGGGCGCTGCCCACTTCGAGTCGGCCGCTGTCACGGCCGGCGCCGCAGCAACGGCGGCAGCAACCACGGCCACGAGCAGCAGAGGCATGAGAACCGAGCGAACTCTCGCCGGCGACAGCGCCATGGTGGATCGGAGCTTTGGCGTTCTCTGCGCGCGCTTAGCAACTCGAGAAAGGGGGGCAGAGACGGCCTTGATGCGAATGACAAGGTGAAGAATGCGCAAGGCCGTGACGCACTGAGGCGGCGCATGACTGAGCATTTTATACACAGGTCGATCGTGGCGCGGAATGGCAAGCATTTGATAACGGAGAGAATATGGAAGGCGAGTAACGCGATTTTTAGGCGTGCGTTGATGAGGCTCTAATTCCTCGTTTCTGAGCTGCGTCCAGCGTGAGTGAGCGTCAGCCCCGCCCAAAATTGCTCATCAAACAGGAGCAGCTCTTTATTATTCTTTCGTTTAAATTATACTACTTATATTTACTAATATAATTGAATAAATATCATATTACAGATTAGCGGATGCTTTTTAATATTCTGACATGGACAACTAAATATATGTTAAATAATGTGGTTTGCTAATGTGTGGCATGCATTAGTTGGATGTGTTAGTGGATGTTGATGTGGACATTTTGCAAGGCGAGATAGTTGAATGTACTAGTTGGATATTTTAGTGGATGCTGATATAGACACCTTGTATGGTAAGATAAATTGCTAGTTGAACACGTACTACGTAGAGACTCTTACCTGTTCACAAACACCACCTATGAAGGTACACATGTTCATCTTATCTCTATGATAACTTCCGAATAGCTGAGATAGAGTCGGCAGATCTCGATATTGATAAAATGACTATATATTTCTCGATATCATTGGATACGTCCTGTACTATAATAATATCTTTATATCTTTTAGTAAATATAGGAAAATATGATCGTGTGCTGAAAGACTTGAACCTAAATAGATAGATTCCGCCACGAGAAAACCCAACCAGTTAAGCTGGACTCGCTTCTCAAACTATGATATACATAGCCAGGAGCAAAGCCAGGAATTTAACATTGGTGATATTATCAACAAGGTATGACAACATCAAACTTTTCAGCCATGAAACAATATTTTTCTCTCACAACATTTTAGCATAAGCATCAGCATAAGCCAAATTTCAGCATAAGCGAACAGGGTGAACGAAGATATATATATAGAGAGACACACGCATACGCTCCACTTTGATAAAGATTACAAGAATGTTCTGTTACATAAACATAAATGTACTATGAAGATAAAATAATATACATGTTAATTACGATATCTAATTGTGATCTCTAAGAGCTGATACTGTAGCTCGACGAAGCTCGGCTTCAAAAGTTTTATTCGTACTCCACAAACCTATAGATGTGCATGAGCCCGACAGCCCGGAACGAGGCCCGTTTTTTTGGCCCGGCCCAAGCACGGCCCAACCCGATGGCTAGCGGGCCCAGACTGGCATGGTTCGAGGGAGCATGCCATGCCTGGGCCTTACCCCAGGCACACGGGCTGGCACGGCCTGGCCCGTAAAATGTCCAAAGGCCCGGTGAGGAAAATGGCCAAAGGTCCAACAACAGCCCAGCAGGTCAGCCCTCCTCTCTTAACCCTACCGCCAACCCTCTCCCTCCCTCGCCGCCGCACTCTGCTCTCTCTCGCCCAGTCGCTCGCCTCGCCTCCTCCCCGCTCTCGCTCGCTCCCCCTCTTCTTCGCGACTCGCCGGCGGGGTGCGTCGCCGCGGGCTCCTCTCCTCCTGCCGCCACCTCCCACCTCCACTCCAACCCGCCGCCGCACTCCCTACCGCTCGCGGTCGGCGTCGCGACTCGCTCGCCACGTCGCCTCCCCGCCCCACTCTCTCTCCCGCACGACTCGCCTCCCTGCCGGCCACCGCACTCTCCCGACTCGCCTCCGCGGCCCCTAGCGGCGAGCCGTCGACAGTGGCTACCGCCTCCTCACCGCCCCGCACTGCCGCCGACGATGGCCGCCTCCTCCTCACCGCCATGCGCTGTTGTTCCTCCCCATGCCTCCTCTGCGCAGATTCGGCCTCGTTCTCCGTGGATCCGGCCTCCTCATTGCTCATCCTCCGCGGATCCAGCCAAGTCGAGGTGCGGAGAGGTTGGGGATGGAGAGGTCGCGTCGTCCACGGCCTTCGCAACGACGGCAGCCTGACCTCCCCTCTCTCTCTCTCTGTCGGTGTAGTGGGCCGGCCCGGCACGAAAAACGGCCCAGCAGGCCGTGCCTGGGCCGTCGGCTAGGCACGAAGCCCATGGCGACACGATCCACAGGGCACGTCGTGCCTTGTCGGCCCGACCCCATCGGGTCGTGCCGGCCCGTTGCCGTGCCGGGCCGGGCCGGACCGGCCCGTTGGACATCTATGCACAAACCAGAGTGCACAGGGGACAAAAAGGTAGATGGTTGAAAATCTCTATTAAAATAAGATTTAAAATAAGAGAAATGGACCATGTGTTTTTACTTTTGAGAGTTTATAGATTCAGATGAAAATCCTAAAAGATTTATTTATGGATCTAGAGGAAAATAGATGAAAACTTTAGGGACGTACGATACATTTTACTCTTTTAATAAAATGAAAAATTAGAAAAAATATGGTTGAAAATACCTATTATTAAAATTATTACTCTTTTAATAAAAAAAGAAAAATAGGAAAAAATATGGTTGAAAATACCTATTATTAAAATTTAAATTAAAAAACTTAACGTGAGATAAAATATGACAGCTGTGGGATTTGGACCCACGCCCTTTCGGACCAGAGACTAAATCTGGCGCCTTAGACCACTCGGCCACACTGTCACAATTGTACTTTATTTTGTATTATGGTACTTTTATACGAATGAGTAACCTTGACATAAACATAATGCATAAGAACGATACAACGGAATGTATAGTTATTGTGCACTCACTGAACGATTTGTGGATCGAAGATTTATTCAACGACTAACATCTGTTCTAATATGTTTTAAATCGAACTTCATACCATCATTTGACGTGTGTTGGAACCATACTTCATATTATCACTAAACACGTGTTGTTCTCATTTGTGTAAGCACGAGCCATGAGTCCAGGTCACATTTAGAGGGGCATGAGGCCGTCCTGAGAAGTGAAAAAGACAAACATGAGAATATATTCTTTCTTTAAGATTAGACATAGATTCAACACACAAGGTTAGGTATTTAAAAATGGAAGGGCTAACTTCATATGGCCCTTAGACTGGCCTCGGTGACCCACACGTGTGCTAAGACTATTTTTTCCATAACTTAATTCTAGAATCCACGAACTAAACAATATCTGATTTTTTGTGAAACTGTAAGTAAGTCTTCGATTCATCACAACACTCCTTAGATGAATGACATGTTTATTGAAGTATTGGTCACATAGTGCATATGGGGATGAGGGCCTGTTTGGCCTATGCTTCCGCTCGCCAAGCCGCAACGCGGACGATGCCAAAACTACGACGATCAATTTGCTCGCCACACATTTGGCAAGCTGTGGCGCAATGATTGAACTACAGTGTAGTAGTCGTGCCGTGGCACGCCGCAAGTGCGATAGCTAACCAAAAGGCTGCTTTAAGTTAGACATAAGAGTTGTGGCGTGGTTTGGCAATATGCGGTAGTTAACCAAAGTCTATCAATTTGAAGTGGCCTACTAGCGCAATCTCATGTTTCGTAGGGGTAGAGAGTGCATGTGTGCACATCATGAGAAGAGTATATGCAACTGTCACTAATAAAAAGTGGTCTTTAAAGATGCCGCCTTTTTCAGAAGCATCCTGTATAGGGCTTTGCCTATGTTATAGGCCACACCAAGGCCCCATGCATGGTTATGATACATCTCTAGATATTGATTTTTAGATGCGATTAAATTAAAATAACCACCTACGAGAGTAGAGATATATTTCTAGAGGCGATTATCTACTACCTATAGAAACCTATTTTGAGAGGTAGCATCAGCTCCTCGCCATGGAGTGATGACGTCGCCTCGACCTCCTCATCTCTCCTTGGCACCACTTCTTCATTCTCGGTCTCCACTCTCGCTATTATGTTACTAGCAACTATTGCCCGCGCTTCGCTGCGGGTGATGTGCTTGGTATAGGAAAAATCTTGAAAAATATGGCTCATATGTTTAATATGTTTTCTCATCGCGTTGCTACGAAAGGTTGGTCTATTTGGTACATTAAATGGAAAAATATGGGAAGGAAAGGTAACATGGATTTTTTATTACAATGTTGTAAACGAACATAGAGGTTGGTTGTCATTACATGGTGCCTATTCTAGGTCAACAAATCAATGACATGTTAGTGGAAAGAAGTATTTGATGGAGTTGGGCTCAAGCAACTAACACACTTAGATTTAAAAGCACAACATTGCCTAGGATTACATTATAGGTGGAAAGAGCAAAAACTACAACACAAGTACGTGTCGTAACGCGAGGGTTTACAAAAGAGTGAATTAGAATCCACTCCCCTTAGACGAAGCTACAACACATTTTGTAAATCTAGAATTACACGAAAGATTACACGGTGTCGAACACTAAATTACACCGAGATTTAAAGTTACATGGTTAAAAGCAACCTAGTACAACCAAGGCTTACTCCAGAAGTCGGGATAGATGAGGGCAATGGAGAAACAACAAGATAATGATTATCCAAAACATGGCGTATGACCAACAGATCCAGAAACAGGAGACTGAGAAGTCAAACATCGTGAACTCTAAGACCAAACTAACCAACGGTAGACTTGAACTTATTCAAAAACCAGATCCCTTTTCAGATTACACCATCACCTCTGTTAGACGAACCTAGTTCCACAATGACGACTAGATCTCGTAGCTCTGCTTCGGATTCGAGAGGGATGGGGATGAAGAAGAAGAGCAAGGACCAAGGGCATCTTATAGTGGCGAACGGAGATGGGGCGCAGCGCACCAGAAGTGGAGACGACATGGATGGGATACACTGCCGGTTCACACTGTGGGGATACATTTGGCCATGGCGCGCTCCCTGCGCAAGCGAGCGGAGGGGGGAATAAAGGAGAGGAGAGAGGGTTTGCTCGACGAGGAGAGGTGTGCGGGCGGTCGTGTCCCCAAAAGAAGAAAGAAGGGAGGGGGTCCGGTACGGGGATGAGGGCGAGGATCAAGAGCGGACCAAAGGCCAGGAAAAGAGAAGCGCAAAGTGCACAAGAACTGCGAGTGCGGAAAAGTTATTATTCGAGTAGTCTGGAGTGATTGAAAATCTTAAATTGATGCCATGTCCCAATCCCAGTGTCCGGTTTGACCGCGCTACGCACGCATCGACACCTGCGGACGTTGTCGATACCGGGACCCACTTGCGTTCAGCTCTCGTTTGGCTATGCCGCACTCGCCTTGTTCACTCTCATAGTTCATTTTCTCTCCTTTTCCCGCACCCTGTCGGCTCTCGACTCTCTTCCTCGCCCCCGTACCAGACCCCTCCTTTTTCTTCTTTTGGGGCACGGCCGCTCGCACGCCTCCTCGTCGAGCGAACCCCTCTCCCCTCCTTTTTCCTCCCTCCACTCAAGCTCGCGTAGGGAGCGCACCATGCCCGACGCTCTCCCCACCTCGTGACCCGCCTGTGTTTTCCTTCCACGCCGCCTCCACTTCCCGGTTGCTTGGGTGCGCCCGAGTTAGCTACATTTACTCCACACCCATTGAAAGATCCTTGTTTGGTTTTGGTAATTGAGTGACAACCTAGGTGGACTAATTGTGTTTATGTGAGATACACAGGTGATTAGTCCACAGGTACATGTGTGTGAGCAACATATGCCATGAAGGTGACAATGGCTTGGAGATGTTGCAAAGCTCACACATGTGATGATGAAGGAGCTTATTGCACATAAGACATGACATTGAGTCATGTGATCAAGGTGGAGAAGATCAAGACAAGACTTGGCTTGATGGACCGGTTGCAAGCGTGAAGGGCAAGTCGGAGGCTTTAGAGCGATGGACCGCGTGGCGGTGAAGCTTGAGCAAGACTTGGCGCCGATGGACGAAGGCAACGGTGAAAAGCAAGTGAAGTCAAGATCGATGAACCAATATGATCACATGATGATATGAAGTGGATCATATCATTGTTGATCATGTTGGTGCATGTGTTGCATCGATATTGGAGGAGATGGAATGAAATGCGCAAGGCAAAGGTATAACCTAGGGCATTTCATTTCACCGGTTATAGGTGTGTAGAGAAGTTGATGACTGGGTTTAGGCTAGATGGCCGTACTATCAAGAGGGGCAAACTTGTTTGCATATCGGTCATCTAGTGCCACTCGAGTGATCTAACTTTGCATTGTCGTTAGGATTGAGTGGCGTGGCAAGTTGAGTGGCTAATCCTTTGGAAAATGATTGTGAAAATGCTAACACACATACACATGGTGGTGTACACTTGGTGGTGTTGGCACATTTACAAAGGAGGTGAAGTTGGAGTTGATGTGGATCAACTCGGCGATGAAACGGAGGCGAAAGGAGAAACTTCACTGACGGAGTGTCCGCCCGTAGAGTGCGGACAGTCCAACGGTGACACCGGCGCCCTAGACAGAAAAGACGAAGGTCACTGTAAGTGACCGGACGCTGGTCTTGGTTGGATCGGCACGTCCGGTCAGTGGCAGCAGAGGGCGCGCGTTTCGGTCTTCGACCGGACGCTGGCACTAAATTTGACCGGACGCTAGCAGGGTGCGTCCGGTCAATGCTGACGTACGCTGACGTGGGGCGCACAGAAGGGTCGTTGAGTGACCGGATGCTAGCTGCGTCCGGTCGAGCATGACCGGACGCGTCCGGTCGTGAAATATTGTTTCTGGAACCTTACTAGAAACGACCGGACGCTGGAGGCTCAGTGTCCGGTCAGTTGAAGCTGCTGCGTCCGGTCGTCAGATGACCGTTGAGATCGGATGAACATCGTTTGAAGGAGGGGACACGTGGTGAGTATCACGTGACCGGACACTGAGGTCTAGCGTCCGGTCGATCGGATTGGAGTGTCCGGTCGTCCCGACTTTTGCCCAGTGAAGGGGTAACGGCTCTATTTGTTCATGGGGTTATAAATAGAAGCCATGGTCGGCCTTGGGCCGGAAGCTGAGCACACTAGAGCCTTGGTGGCTTGTGTAGTAGTGTTTGGGAGCCCTCCATCTCACATATGCTTGATAGTGATCATCCGATTGTGTGAGAGAGCGATTCTAGTGCGATTGCATCGTGAGGTTGCATCAAGTGGCACTAGGTAATCGAGTTGCAAGCTGGTGGTGCTTGTTACTCTTGGAGGTTGCCACCTCCTAGACGGCTTGGTGGTGGTCTCCGTTGAAGCCCGCAAGAAGCTTGTGCGGTGCTCTGGAGAAGAACTTTGTGAGGGGCATTATACTCGCCCCGCGGGAGCCGCGAAGAGCAACTCTAGTTGAGCGTGTCATTGAGCTACCCTCACTTTTGGGGTAGGTTCTTGCGGTGCCCGACGTGCGGGCTTGGCGGGTGATGCCAATTAGCCGCCGAACCACCAAGTGAGCGGTCGACACAACAGGGACTAGCGTGTTGGCAAGCACGTGAACCTCGGGAGAAAAATCACCGTGTCAAACTTGTTCTTCCCGTTGGTTTGCATCCTCGTTACACAAGCTTGTAATTACTTTCATATACATTGTGCATGTGTAGTTGCTCTTGTAATTAGTTAGCTTGTGTAGCTTACTAGTTACCTTCTTGCTTATGTAGCATAGAAGTAGCTCCCTTGCGTGGCTAATTTGGTTTGTGTGACCTTGTTAGTCACATTGCTGAGTTTGTGTAGCTAAGTGATTGCGCTCTCTAATTTGGCATTGGTTGTCTTGTTATTGAGCATTGCTAGTGAGCTTAGTTGGCTTTGTGTTTTTGCTTACTAGCATGTGTAGGAGCTCCCTTGTTGCTTAAAGTACTAGTGACATAGGTTTGTGTGACCTTGCTTCTAGAATTGGTTAGGTGAGCTCTAGCTAGCCCGACACCTTTGTTGCTTAATTAGTATCTTTGGAAGGTGCTAGAGAACATAGATAGAGGGGTGTAGTCTTGGCTAGACCGATAGTTTTAATTCCGCACTTATTTCGGTTAGCCGACGCGATTAATTTTAGAAAGGACTATTCACCCCCCTCTAGTCCGCCATCTCGACCCTACACCCATGCAACCAACAAAGCGCACAGCAGACCGCATAGAAATTAAAGCCACGCGCACCACCAGTGGCCACTCACCCGCGCTCCTTTTCCGCACACTAGTGCCATCCTCTCAGCGTCACGCCGTTGTCTCTTCTGCACCGCCACCCACCGCACGTCGCACCACCGCCCCACGACACCGCTCGTGATGTCACCTCCATTGGCCCGATGTTGCCGCTGCTGTCCCCCACAAACCTGATTCCATCAACCCTTAATGCTGCTCAGTGCCACCGATAATGGCGCGCACCCACCCTCTACACCCGCCGTCAATCGCCTATATCCCCCTTCACAACAAGACACTCCACACTCAACACTAATCACCAGCATAAGCCCCCTATTCAAATGCCAACCTATTTCAACATTTTAAGAAAAAACACGAGATAAGTGTTGCAAGCTGGAGACTATCAAATAAAAAATCAAGCAGGAGCCGGAGTACATTGTCAGAAGCAAGAAGCTGACACTCTCAAGACGTGCTTAGATGAAGATGAGCTCACCATGACCATCTTTGCTATCCTAATTCCTACTATGGTGGCATCAATCATATTGTATATCCTTGTAATGCGCCCGCTACCCTACGAGAGGCCCTGAGATAGTTGTTGAAATAAGAAGAGTTGAATAAATATTCAAGTTTCATGGATTTATTCAAATTTCGAGGGCATAGGGCCTGTCCACAACTTGACTACGCATGATTAAGTTATTTCTTACATTCACCAAATAAATAGCGACGCAATTCCTATACCAGCTATATTGTGATGCGAGGTCCTTTGCAATTGTTATTGTGGTTAAGTTTTTACGTAGCTAGCATAGTATCCGTGCTGGGTATCCATGTGAGTTCCTTGTCAGTAATAACTAAATAAAGTTCGGACAGGCTGCACTTTAACATTTACGAGGGATACTATGGTGGTTGTAATATGCAATATTATTTTTACTGACTTTGCCATGGGGTATCAGTCTATGTGGAACCGTTTCACGTGGTAGTACTTAGACCATATATATGGCAGCGATAATGCATTTGTATGGTTATATGCCTGCTACCACCGTGTCCTCCCATACTTTGATGGTAATGGGAATAAGGAAAAGAAAACGTCTCAGAAGATCAGTACAGGTGACGACTTTTCCTTCTTCAGAAAGCCATTTTTCATCTAGAAGGTAGTTTTCCAGTCTCGCTGCCCCCAATAATACTTGTCAGTTTGTATGTGTATCCTATGCAATCTTATCATTGTTTCAGAATAATTGTTTTAATATTTTCTTTTGTGCTTGTGTCTCTGATATTTACACAATACACAATTCCTTGAATTTGTCACAAGATAGCTCTGAGATTCCTGGAATGCTGCTCCACTTGTAAAAGTGACAAATACTTATACTGATGCCCTATTGGCAGTCTCAAACTTAGTCATGCCTATCACTGCTAGGTGAACAAAGGCAGGTGAAACCATGTAAGGTTTAGTTAACAAAAGGATGGGGCAATAAAATCGCTACTAAGACCAAACAGGTGTACAACTGCTCAAAAATCAAGTATATTCACTTATTCAGGTTTTAGTTATTATAAGATGACCTATAAGCATCAAATCATGAAAATATATTATATTCAATGGGAAACAACCATATGTGCAAGGCTTCTATGATTTTTTTTCCACAACACAAATAACTATTTCATGGGCCATGCAGATTCATACTCCAAGAGGAAGGTAATAACAACAACCTACCTGGAGTCATCCATTTCAGAGGTTCGACAAACAAAGATGAGCAATCTTGTTCTTTGTTGTTGTATGGATGACCACTCTTCCTTCGGTTCCAATCAAAGCAAGATTCACCCTCACCAGGAACATGACTTACAACATTGTCCTCTACAGCAGTAACTCTCCTGCATTTCCTGCAGTGGTAAGCTGTTTTACGTTGCTCAACCTTTGAAGAATCTTGACAAGAGCCAGACTGCGGAGCAAGGCCAGGGTCATCTTCAAACATATAGCTGCCTATTTTCTCCCCAAATTTGTAGGATTGACCTGCGAAAGGAAACACATGCTAGGTTACATAATACATGTTTGTTGAAATAAATTGAAATTAAAAGGTACTTTTGTACTTGCAAAAAAAATCAAGAATGTTCATGACCATGCAGCAAACAAATTTCTGAGTAACAACCTAGCATAGGAAGAAAAATCTCATGATAAAAGATTGACAAAGAGTACAACTGCTCCATATTGAATAAGGATTACTATCTGCTAATGGCCAATTCTATTTGATGAACTGATAGTATTGTTGAATGCTCAAACTTCTATCAGATTAAGACTGATCAATCGACCATTTTGACTTTTTTTTTTTATTTTGAGAGGGAAAAAATACTGAAACACATTTCTATTTATTTCAGGTGCAGCTACATATCCAAAGTCCTAACCTTACAACACTTCATATTTATTGATACATAAGTGCAGGTAGGAACTCGCTGGTCACGAGACAAATTATCAGGAAAAAATATCTGAACGCTCTGCACCGTGAACCAGGGATCGCTCTGGAACACAAAATGATTTTCTATCAATTGCCAATTGTGCACCATTAAAATTCATAAGGAAGACATTTCACGATCAGTGTCAGCAAGTTTCCTTTGAAAGCATGTATCTGGTCTATTGGTCTACCTAAACCACACATGTGAAACTAACTTGCACAATTCTTAGTGAGAGTAGTTAAGGAGCGACCAAACAAATAAAACATAGAGAATACCCCACGAAAAGTGGAGAATGCCTATTAACTCAAAATTATGTCACGACAACTAGTAAACACCACTTTAACCAAAATGGATCAGGACTAACCTAATAACTTAAGCGGAATCTCTTGTACAAAGGACTTGAAGTATCAACTTTGAAGCCCATTTCTTCAAACAATTTCAGCTGCAGGGCACAGAACGTTCAGCTAAGCAACAAACATTACAGGAGTTCATATGCTGCATTGCTGCCAGCAGATCATGAGCAAATCTCACGTGGTCAAGAAAACCATCATTCGGGCATGCCGACTCAGAAATCTCCTTCAAAGCTTTTAATGCATCTGGGAAGAAAAAAAGGCAACATGAGTAAAATTCAAGTATAGGAGATGAAAAGATAGATGTTCTCTTTCCGGGAAAAGAGAGTTCAGACCTTCAAAAGATTTCTGGTCTGATCTCATAAGATAAGCAACAATGATGGAAGCGCTGCAGTAAGTTTGACATAAATTATGAATAGATATACAAAGATGCAAATAGGAATTGACAATATTACAAGTGAACAGGTTTGTGCAAATCAATTTACTAAATAGAAACGCTACATAGGTAAATCCAATTCCGATTCTCAATTGTGAAGCAGTCAGCAGCCTGCTCCAAGTGGTTTGTGTCACAATTCCCAAACATTCAGTGTCATCGCGCTACCAATTGGTTTGGTCAAATTTCACACCTTTAAATCAAATTCGAACTGCTATGCCACTACTACCATGCCGAACCTAATTCCATTGCTAAACATGACTGTTCCAAAATAGAAATCCTAACTTTACCCACAAAACGAAATCAGAAAATGGCAACGCTCTAGACGCCTACCTCCTCGACACTCCAGCAAAGCAATGGACGAGGACATTCCCGACCTTCCTGCCCTCATCGATGAAATCAAGGCAGGGATCGGGCGGTCGAGCAGGTCCTCCTCCTCGGTGTCCCGCAGCGGCACGGCCATGCGCGTGACCCGCAGCCCGGGCCAGGCGCGCTCCACCACCCGCATCATCGTCCCAGGGGGCACCGCGGCGGCGGCGGCCGATGGCGCGCCCTCCTTGCCGGCGACACCCATCTAACTATACAGAGTTAGATGGATGTGGAATGGGAAAAATTAGCAAAATAAAACATGTCTCCACGAACAGTTACATTGGTATCGTGTTAACCTGCAGTCGAGGCCAGCAAGGTCAGCAGGTGAATGAAGGAGACTAAATCAGATGCAAGATAAACACAGGAAGAAAGCAATTAAAATCAATGTAACATCAGGCAATAGGCTGAGTCCGGTGGATAGAATTGGAAACACAGCTCTCCTGGAGCAGAGTATTCAGACAGCGGGCGTAGCCCATGTCTGGTTTTAGAAGACCACTTTGACCAAAAACAAATGAAACACATAAAGGGTTGGATAAAAGAACCAAAAGTAGTGGATCAAAAGCAATGTAAAATCCACCTGAGTTCACATAACGACAACACACATAATTTAATTGTACAGAAAACTCAAAGGAGCAGGGAAAACAGAAGACTGACAATGTAATCATTGGAAATAGGGCATGTGCTCAGAACCAACAGTAAGCAACGGTCACAAACAATGATCACAAGGCTAGAAAGAACAAGAATATAACTATCAGTTCACAGACAGTAAACACAATCTCAGATTACACAAATCGTGTGTATTAACATCACAGACAATGATCATAAGCAAGTATGAGTGAAATATGATAGGCAATCATCAGAGTATACAAAGGAGAAAATCATCACAGGCAGCGTCATCAGAAACCGAGATTTCATAACAAAGAGATAATTGCAGCCGCATAGTCCGTGACTAAATAGGCAATAAATATTACCCCTCATTGGTGTCTCCAAACCACACAAATTAGAACAGGTAGGAAGAGATGCATTAAAAATCAGGAACAACCAATTGATCATCGCCTCAATTACCACAGAACAGGTACAAAGAGATGGTAAAAATAGAGCAGCCTATGATCATTGCCTCAATTATGGACACAACAAAGAGATGCAAAAAGAAGGAAGAATCATCATAGCTCATGAGCATTGCCTCATTAGTCATGAGAAAGAAGGAAGAGATGTAGACCATGGAAAGATCGCTCATGATCATTGCATCAAACACTACAATAATCATCACTGCAGTAGCCCATTCCCTCAAAGTAAAATGTAACGGCAAGAGAAAAGTGTATTCATCATTGCAGGCGACCAAAATGCAGACAACGAACCAGAAACCATAACGACTGCAGTGTTGAAGGTCACATGCTCAGATCCATGTCACAATAATTGCGTGCTCTCAAGATCCAACCGAACCGAGCAGGCCACAACCTACAAAACGCAAAACAATCCTTAGTAGCATGCAAACTGGTAAGACAAGGGGACAAAAATAGATCTAGGCTGAAACTGAACTTCCCTTGTTCATTTACCTCTTTTGACCAAGATTTCCCCTCCAAATCTCACATGCAGTGAAAAATTATGCAAGGGAAGGAGGGTTGAATAGAGGTAAAGCGAGGGAGGGGGCCGGGAGCCAACATGCGAGCAAACAACGCGAGCAAACAGTGGAGCCGCATAGACCACATGCACTAGCCGCCCCCGTGGGGGAGCTGTGGCCACCGGCGGTGCCCGCTTAGCAGCTGGCGCCGTGTCGGAGGCACGGACCCCGGGCGTGCTCATGCTGGTGCACCGCGCACACGCAGCGGGGATCCGCCGACGCTCGCGGCCTGGCGGTGCGCCGCCACCCCGAAAGCGAAGGCGCGCGCGAGAGAGATGCGTGCAGCGGGGGAGGGGAGGCGGTTGTGCCCACCGCGGGGGCCTAGCCACGCCGGTGCGCCGGAGGCCGACCGCTGCGGCCGCAAATCTGGAGAGAGGGAGAGGGAGAGGAAGAGAGAGAGGCGCCGCCTGCCCCCCAGCCATTGGCCATTGGCCTGGCTGGCCGGTCTTGCCGCCGCCCCGTCTGTCACACTGGATGCGCCGCCAGCCGTGGAGAGAGAGAGAGAGAGGCAAAGAGAGAGAGGAGGTCAAGAGCAGAGAGGGAGAGAGGAAGGAGGCGTAGGGGGGAACTCACCCGCGGCTCACAGATGCACGCACGTAGTAGCAGCAAGCATACAAGCGAGCAAGTGTTAGCAGTGCACCCACACACACAAACAGATAGCTTATGCATGCATGCAAATCAAGCAAGGCTCTAGCAGCATGCACGCACGCATACTCGCATGCGTGCCGACCACCATGATTAGGCACCGGCCATGCATGCCGAGAATCCACCGTCGCCTGCTACGCGCCACCGTCCATTTGCATGCCGCGTACAATCACCAGGGAAGCCCTACTTCATTGAATGCGTCCACTTGTTTCATCTATCCACTGCCGAACTACCGAATGCACGGAGAAAGGCTGATTGTGACGCGCTTCATCTGAGTCGTGGAATTTCAGTCTAACGCACCAACTAAATAGAACGTACGTGGACACTCTGTGAGACCGCCTATTCAGCGTGCCTTTATATCTTTAATGCTTCCATGGAGGTGCCCCTCGGCTCATCTTTGTAAGTAGGTATACTAGGCCTTGTTGGGCACTTGGGCTAAGGTGTTACCAATAGGGGAGCCCATGCAGCGGCCAATGGTGGCTGGGCCTTGGCTCCGCCACCGGTCTCCAGACACCATCAAGAGGTAGCATGCATGATGCTCGTGTGCGCCTTATATCCGCATTGTTCACCATGATAAATTGGGTTGCAGCACAATGGTTTGGTACAAGCACCGATTCAGAGGCTAGTAACCTCTGAGGGATTTGGATATAAAAGACCAAACAAAATCTTGATTCTTTTTATATAGATGGTAATTAATATTCCTCGTGGACGACACGCTCGGACTTAAGACTCCTAGAACATAGAAGCGATGAAAGAAAAAAAAATGACTTGTGTAAAATACTAGTGTGCTTGTGTACCATGATTATTGAGATGCATTTATTATGTGATATCTACTCCCTCCATTCCAAATTATAAGTCGTTCTGACTTTTTTTAGATAAATAGCTGTTTAGACATAATATATACCTATGTGTGGTAGCAAAAAGTATGTATCTTGAAGAAATTAGAATAACTTATAGTTTAGAACGGAGGGAGCATGTGATATTTTTTTGAACAAGTTTAAACTTTAAAGAACTGCTGCCCGCCGGTATATATATATATATATATATATACATGTGATATTTTTTTGAACAAGTTTAAACTTTAAAGAACTGCTGCCCGCCGGTATATATATATATATATATATATATATATATATATATATATATATATATATATATATATATATAAATCTGTTATCACTATGCAGCCTTGGAAGCGGCAAACTTAATTAATTTGTTGGAGAGAACAGGAGCACAGCTAGAATAATCTTGCCGGAGAGCTTTCGCTTGAGTACGTAGAGTACATAATTGTACACCATTGACGGCAACAGTACCAGTCCAGGTACGTCAACAACCTGTCAAGAATAGATCGATATCGATCGGTCATAGCTTGAGGCACTCTGGCACTGCTCGTAGTAGTAGTAGCACTTTTTTTTCCATGTTTCGTCAAGGTCAGCTGCTTGACGCATCCAACTGCCAGTTGTGTTTATTCCCCGTTGACGCAGCGGCAGTAGCCCCGCAATCGCCGGACAACACGGCAGCGTGCCTACTACCTGCGCGACGAAACGACCATCTCTTCCGTCCAGTCGTTCCTTGTCCCGTCACATCGATCGATCGATCGATAATCAAATCTAGCTAGCGAGAAGCGACAGCTGATGGCTGTTGGCTCTGTACCAAAGCAGAAACCAAGAGAACAAACCGTAGACTGGGTCACGGTCACGCGCACGAAGGCAAACGATCATTGATTATTACGCGAGCTAGCATATTAGTATGCTCGACGACGACGGCATGGCCGGAGCGGAGAGCACACTGGCTGGCGCCCGCGCGGCCCCTACGCGCTCGTCCACGGCGACGCACTACTGGCGGCTCCGCCGAGCCTAGGACAACGGCCGCCGGAGTGGTCGTTGTTCTGCGCCCGATGACGAATTGGCGACGATGACGCCGTCCCGGGGTGAGCTGTTGCCCGCTAGGCTGCTACTATCCCTATCTTGACGGGACGATGACGCGTGCACCGTGCAGGCCGTGTATGGGCACCGGCGGCGACCAGGATAAACAAGGGCAAAAAGGCTGCGTACTTGTGCCTGCCGAGTGCAACGTGTGGGTGGATGGATGGAGATGGATGACTCCGTCGCGCGGTGATCACTGGTAGTCGTAAGAAAGTGAGGAGGACTTCCATATTTAAACATCCACTTTCACAAGCAAGGTAGAACTAAAGAGTTTTCACTTTCATTCTTTGCACAGATGAATGAGCTATTGAGATTTTCCTAGAAATTCCAGAATTTCTTATTGGGCCCCAAGCCTATATATTCTAACGAGACTTTTCATTAAGAGTGGATGACAGTCTTAAAAATAATGTCATAAAACTCCACACTAAGACTAGCATAACGGCACTTTAGTACTTTGTATGGTCTTTTGGTCAAATGGATTCAGTAATTATATATGGTCTCTTGGTCTGCCAAGACTAATTTTGCTTGCTCAGCGCGCGCAACATGAAAAGGTCCAACACTGAACAGTTCAGAATGGTCGTTCAACGTCAAGTTTATAATTTCGTCTTTTCTCCAAGGTAAAGCAGACAAAAAATTTCAGGAACATGGTATAACTTCAATCACCAGCTGACACGAGACCTCGAGTAGCTTACCATTTTGTGCAAGTCAACTTTCACCATTTTCTCTGAAAGAATCTCAAGGTTTCAATACTAGTACTGCTCATGACAAGTTAACACGTGCCCTGTTTACAGATTTTAAGATAATATATAAGGATCTGTTTAGATCAGATAGGATAGTTGTTAGCTAAGACTAAAATTAGTCCAAATTAACTTAGTTTGGCCACATAGTTAGCTGACAGCTAGTTTGAGGCTTAGTTAAAATATTAGCCTCCATTTAATAGGTTAACACTAA